ACCTTCCTTCCGAGGAGTGGCTGGTGGGTTTGAACCGCCAGCCGTCTGGTTAGCAGGCAAGTGTCTTAGCCACTATGCTACCAGAGCTCCCTGGTTTTTGAATAGGTCAACAAAATTGAAAAACTTTTAGCCAGACTAAGGTTGCACAGTGGTTAAAGTGCTTGGCTGCTAACCAAAAGGTCAGTGGTTCAAAACCACCATACACTCGGTGGCAGTTTGTTTCCATAAAGATTTACAGCCTTGGTTTCAACAACAAGGTGTTTTTAGCTAGACTAACCAAGACAAAAGGATCTCTAGTGGTGCAGTGGCTAAGGTATTCAGCTGCCAACCAAAAAGTATGCTATTCAAACCCAACAGCCATTCCCTGGGAGAAAGATGAAGCAGTTTGCTTCTGTAAAGATTTATAGCCTTGGAAACCCTAGGGGCAGTTCTACTCTGCCCTATAGGGTCCCTATGAGTCAGAATCAACTCAGTAGCAGCGAGTTTGGTCTGTTTGTTTTTTGACCAAGACAAAAAGAGAGGAAACTCAAATTACTAGAATCAGAAATAAAATAAGGAATATTAGAGGTCTCACAGAAATAAAAAGGATTATGAAGGAATACACTAAGAAGTATGTATATGCTCATAAGTTATATAATGTAAATAAAACTGAAAAATTCCTAGAAAGACACAAACTACCAAAACTGACTTAGGCAGAAATAGAAAATCTGAAAAGAACTATAAGAAGGAAACAGATTGAATGAGTTATTACAGAAAGAACTACCTGTAAAAAAAGAGCAAGCCTAATGTGAGTTAAACATTTACCTCAAGTAGACACACGCCCTGGAGAGAACAATCATGGGAGAAGGAAGGGCTTCTTATGCACAGGGAGATAGCTCAGGGTGCAGAAGAGTATGAAGGGATAGACACTGGGAGGAGGTAACTATGGGGAGGAAGTGGGAGGGGAGCTGCTGCATTGTAAATTTTGGTCAATGTCATGAGACAAAGTATATGTGAACTGCTGTATGAAAAGTGAATTTACTCTGTAAATCTTCACCCAAATCCTAATTAAAAAAAAAAAAAAAGAGCAAGCCTAGGTAGCTTAACAAATATATAAAGAAGAATTAGTACCAATTCTTCACAAATTCCTCCATAATATGGAAGAAGAGGGAAGACTTCCCAATTAATTTTATGAAGCAGTCTTAACACTGATACCAAAGATATCACAGGATAAGAAAACTACAGACCACTATTCCTTATGAATATAGATACAAAAATCCTCAACAAAATACTAGCAAACTGAATCTAGCAACAATATATACAAATAATTATTTACAGAAAAATATGCCTTATGAATATAGATGCAAAATCTTCACTTCATAGGTAAAAATCAACATAAGTCTAATCTACAAAATGACTTGTATCATCCCCAGGACTGGTTGTGGATCAGACCCTTACAGTCCATAGGCTTTTCATTGGCTGATTTTGAAAGTAGATCAGCAGGCCTTTCTTCCTAGTCTTAGTCTAGAAGTCTACTAGAACACGTTCAGCATCATAATAGCACACAAGCCTCCACTGACAAATGAGTGATTGCTATGCATGAGGTGCCACTGGCTGGGAATGGAAGCAGGTCTTCCACATGGAAGGTGAGAATTCTACCACTGAACTACCATTGCCCCCATTACTAACCCTTCTAAAATGAGTACATGGCTTAAAAGATTTCTGCAAACAAAACTAGTATTTATTAAAACTCACACTAATATTGCCCTCACCAATAAAAACAGGAAAATGGCAGAGCACACACTTATCAGACTCCTATTATGATTTCTTCATATATCACATATATTGTACAGCTCAGCTCAGGAAAGTTCAAATACTGAATATTAACTTCATAAAAAAGTGCAATTTAACTACATTAGGATGGGGAAAAGAGATAATATGAAGATTTAAGGAGACTCATCTTCCATATGAATTTATATAACATATTATTTAGAAATATGAAGATAATAGAAGAAATACTCACCAGATTTCTCTATTACAAACCCTTGACATTCTCTATAGTGTTAAATTAATGTACTTATTGGGTCATTTATTATCTGCCTCCCCTCCCCTGATAATACTTAAATCCGTTGGGAAAGCTCTGCCATACATCCACCACTTGGCCAGCACATAGCACTCAGTGAATATCTGTTGCATGAATAAATACTGTAAAAAATCACAAAAGGCAAGAAGTAACACTAAGGAAATGTAGTAAACACTTCTTCAATTTTAGTGTATGTACATGTTACCATCATCCCCCCCCTTCCCCACATGGTAACTATAGAAATGTTGCTTGTTATGATTAAAATCATATAAAATAGAAACACTGGGGAAAAAATTAAGTGGAAATGTTTCTGTAAAAGACTAAACTACAAGGGACTAAATTATTTTCACGTAACAAATTCCTCATGAATCTTATCTGAACATGCCTTTATCAAAGTGTCCTAATTCATTCAAATATATAAGGGCCAAGAATACTGTACAAGGAGTTCCAGAGAATATATTAAGACATCCAGAGATGCTTAGAAGTAGCCCAAAACTGTGCTGGTCCCAAATATCAAAAACTTTCCTTCTGGTAACAAAAGATCCATGCTTTGATAGATTAAGGGTAAAACAGCAATTTCAAGTTTTGCTGAGTTATAATATTGTCAACTATCATATGACAATAATAAATGAGGAAGTAGGGAGAGTTTGAGGACTTGGTACAAGAGGACATAAGCTAACAGGAAAAAAATAACTAAACATTAGAAATAGCAAAGAGGGAGAAGAGTCAACTTTGAGAAGCAGTTGGGCTAATGGAGCAAGTGAGAAACTTCATTCTAAGAAATTTCAGTTTTCTATGTCTAAATGAAAGGAGCTCAGGTGGCAGAGTGGTTAAGGCATTAGACTGCTAAGGGAAAGATAAGCAGTTCAAACCCAACAGCCACCCAAGGGGAGAAAGACGAGGCAATCTGCTTCCGTAAAGGTTTACAGCCTTGGAAACCCTTTGGGGCAGTTCTATAGGTTTCCTATGAGTCCGGAATCGACTTGATGCCAGCGGATTTGGTTTACGTCAAAATGAAGTATTCTAAAAGTATCTGCAAGATGCCCATGAATGAAAACATTTTCCACTAGGCTTCGCAAAACTATTAGGCATTCTGTAGATAAGCACTCGGATTAAATTCCTTAAGTGACAGTTCAGAGAGTCCCAGATTTAAAAAGAGAGAGACAGAGAGAGAGAGTGCAAAGACCAAGGTTTTTATTTCTTCATGTTTAGTTGTTTTTAGGGAATACATACTTGGGCGGGGCCTTCCCGGGAGTGGATGGTGGGTTTAAACCACCAGCATTCTGGTTAGCAGTCAAATGCCTTAGACACTATGCCACCAGAGCTACCACAGTCACCCTTACAGGTCAGGGTAAAACTTCACCATAGGGTTTCCAAGGCTGCAAATCTATACGGAAGGAGACTGCTAACATTTTGCTACGGCGGTGAGGCCGATGGGTTCGAACTGCCAGTTAGCCCTCGAGGGCTTAACCACTGAGCCGCCAGGGCTCCTCGTACTTAGAAAGGGAACTTTAAAAAGCACTGTTAAAAAAAAAATAAAAAACCTCTGGTGGCGCAATGGTGACGCATTAGACGACTAAGGAAGAGACTGGCAGTTCGAAGCCACCAGGCAGTCTGTGGGACACGGGTTTGGTTTTGGTTTTTTAACAGCTAGTAGTCAACAGAAAGAGAGAAATTCTAAATTAACTTGAACTTTTCTGCTAGAGCCCAGTACCATTTTGAGCAAGAAAGACGGAAGAAGAATTTGCACGGATGCAGCAAAACACGACAATCCTGGTAGCGAAGTGGTAAGTGTTTGCACCACGGTCTTTTAAGTCCAGCCTGCGTCCTTATAAAATTCCACAAGGGTTCTATCCTGTCCCGAGGGCGATAGCAGCACCCCCAAGAAATCACCCAAAAACCGTGGATCCTATCCGCGCCTAACCAACCCGGACGATGCCAAAGCGCGTCTCTTCTTCCCCACCTGGGATGTTCTGCCACCTGAACCCGACGCGTGACAAGGCCCTCTGCAGCCATATTTCGCCAGATTTCTTTTGTCTTCTGTAGTTTTAACCAGAATAGCAAGACTCCCGAATCAATCAGGAGACATTTGCGGTAGGAGCCGCTTTCTTCCGGGAGACACTGATACGCACTCTGCGGAAATCCTGCTGCTTCGCCGAGGTGGCGGCTTCCAGTCGGCCCCGCCTCCTGCTCCTCCTCCCCTGGCTCTGCCTAGTGAGGAGTCCAGCAGCTGTCAGGTACAGCCCGAGTGTTCTCAGCCCCTAGGTACTCGGGACTCGCTACAGCCGCTGCACTTAGTATATGCAAAGCTAGTGTACTGTTTTCTCTCTGCATCTGTGGCTAGGTTTGAGAAGCGTTATGATCTGGTACCCTTCACAGACCTTTGGCATCTGATCTATCCCAGGCTACCTTTTTCCAGTGCTTCCATAGCGTCACAGAGTAAGCACTACTTTTTTTTTAGATTTTTTTTTCTTTAATAACCAGCAGCAACTCCCCAAACAACCCTAAAATGTTTATTGTTTCTTACTGATTTGTGCATTATTTCCATGAAATTGATTCAGTACTTGATTTAAATATATGTACTTATTTCCAGAATAGCAGTGGGGGGGGGCACAATATATTCTTCTCAATCTGCAATATCCAGTTCAACCCTTTCATTTTTGTTACCTAGAGAAATCCCAGATGCCTACCTAAAGAAGCACACCACCCTCTATCATTCTACCACATTACTCTGGTTTCTTTCTTTCATAGTTTTCTTTCATGGTTTTCATAATTATAAAAAATTACTCTGTATATTTATTTTCTTGTGTATTTATTGTCTGTCTCACCACCTCCACAATCACACTACTAGAAGGTAAGCTCCTTGAAGGTAGCAGCTTTGTATCCCTAGCACCTAGAACAGAGCCTGACAGATAAACCTTTAATAGGCAAGGTTAATACTGAAAGGTAAAATGACCTACCCAATGTCTTACTGCTAATAAGTAGCAAAACTCAAATTAAAATTCAGGTCTATTAACACTAAACCTAGTGCATTTTGTACTTCAGAATGCTGAGATTAAGCCCAAGTGAAGCCGGTTGGCACTATACCTATTCTAAGTTCCCCTAGTTGAGAAGGGTTGAGCCAATTCAATATTCTTTACATACTAGAAGTAACCCAGAGACACAATAAGTTGCCAGTCCAGAATTTCTAAAGGGGTATCTATGTGTAACTGTGGAAGGGAGGAGAGGGGGCTCTAAAGTGTAAACTGACGATATCAAAGTGTGACCGAAGAGTGGAAAGCCCCTTGGCACCCACATAGGTTATTACTGTAATTGGTACATCATAAAAATAAAGTTACTCTGGTCTCAGGTCTATCTTTCTCATTTTTGCCCCTTCTTATTATGTTCAAAGGAGCTCTAGTGGTATAATGCCTAAGGCATTTGACTGATAACCAAAAGGTTGATGGTTCAAACCCACCAGACACTGCACTGAAGGAAGACTAAGCAATCTACTTCCATAAAGATTTACTGCCTGGGAAACCCAGCGGGGGTCACAATGAGTCAGAATCGACTCAGTGGCAGGGAGCCTGGGGCTTTTTTGGTTTTTATTATATTCAAATGAAAAGATTACATCATCTTTCTTTTGTGCACCAGTAAGTCCCAGTATGATGTTTATTGTGGTTTACTTTTTGTAAATAGGTTTGAATGAAGAGGGAACCTAAGTGAGAAAACAACAGGAAAGTTTTTAAGAAGATCAGTAAACACTGGAAAAAGACAATCAATATTTTCAAACTCATTTTTTCTAATATATCCTATCTTGCAGTAATTTAAAAAGTAACTGAAGTTTTGCAAATTTTGTTTTTAAAACAGTCCAAAACAAACTCATTTTTCTTTTCTTTTCTTTTCTTTTTTTTTTGGTATTTCATTTATTTTTATTTTTTTTTTATTTTAAGAGCTTGTTTTACATTCAATGTCATGTATACATTTAGTTTCATTCCCCATTCGCCATGTCCAACCCTAACCCAGTCTCCTCCCGTCCCTAGCCTGCAACCCACCCCCTGTGCCTCTCATAATTATGCACTCTTGTTTTCCTGCATTTCCTCGGTTTGAATGTTGGTCCTCTGGTGTCCCATGGTCTATTGCTCTAAAGGATGTATTACCATTGAATGTGTGGGTGCAGCATCCTGGGTTGAGTGGTCGCTTGTACATCTTGTTAACTATTGGGCTGAGAACCCGCCCCTGGGGGTGAGTTTTATTCCAGGCGCCGAATGTATTTCAGGGCCATAGTATTGGGAGTCTCACCAGATTTCATCTGACCAGTAATTCTGGTCATTATTGAGTTTTTGGATTTTGTTCCACGTTTTCCTCCCACTCTATCCAGGCTCTCCAGATTTGATCCTTTCCTGAGTGGCTGGCATTGGTAGCCAGGCACCATCCAGTTCTTCTGCTTTCAAGAGCCATCATGCCCTAGGGCTGATTCCTTCTAAATGTCCTTGAAAAAACTCATTTTTATATAGTATCGAAAACAACTGAATACATACACATTAAAAAATGGACACAATGACTATGGAAACTGTGTCATAAAAGAATACTTCCTTTTCTTGTGTATATGATAACCAAACACTAAACTTCGCTAAATGAAACCCAACAGCAAATCATTAGTTTGGATCCTGAATACACTTATTTTGGTCTCGACAAAACTGATGCATACAAATTTGTAGCATCTTAGAATTGGGAAGCACCTTATAGAGCAACGAGCAAAACTCTTTTTTGAATTGATTGGCCTCAATAACAGTAAGGGAACAGCATGACTAGAATTAAAACCCAGGTCTCCAGACTCATAGCCCAGAATCCATACCACCTATGAATGTGTAATGTTTGATGGGCTCCCAGTGAAGTACATTTTAAAAAAAATTATTGAAATAATTAGTAATTTTTGTTGCAGAATTAAACTGTATATAATTTTCATAAACATTGTTCTTAAAATAACCTGTTTTCTCACTGGTCTGATAGAGCCTGGTAAGACCCCCAAGACTATGGTCCCTAGTGACCCTTGAGATCTGGAACTGAACTCACTCCCATGGCTTCCAGCCTAACAAAAGACAGGCACATAGGATGAACATTTGCATCAGGTAGAAGATACACTCCTTAAAATGATCAATCATGGGAGAACAGAAGGGCAGTATTTGCATAGGGAGATAGCTCAGAGGGCAGGAATGCATAGGAAAGAAGGACACAGGGAAGAGGTAACTACAGGGAGGAAGTGGGAAGAGAGCTGTCACATTGTGGGGAATTGCAGTTAATGTCATGAAACAAAATATATATGAACTGCTGTATGAAAAATGAATTTGCTCTGTAAACTTTCACCCAAATTACAATATAAATAAATAAATAACCTGTTCTTAAACTACTAAAAATAACTAATCAGTTTGGATTCAAATCTAATTCATGGAGAGTCCAAGCATCAGAGGAGAACTGCATTCCATACGGTTTTCAATGTTTGATTTTTTTGGAACTAGATTGCCAGGCCATTCTTCAGAGGACCCTATAGGTAGACTGGAACCTCCGACCTTTCAGTTAGCAGTGGAGAATGTTAACCATTTGCATCACCCAAGGATTCCCTCAAACTACAAGAAAATTCCAAATAGACAACAAAAAAACAAAATTAATACTTTCTTACACTATCTTCCTTAAGGAGCTCTGGTAGCACAATGTCTAAGGCATCTGACTGGTAACCCACCAGCCACTCCACAGAAGCAAGACTGAAAATCTAATTCCATAAAGATTTATCGCCTTGCAAACCCAATGGGGGTTGCTATGAGTCGGAAACGACTCGACAGCAGTGGGTTTATACTATCTTCCTTACACCAGGCCGCTTGCTAAATAAGCATTTTACATATATAATTATCACATTAAATCTTCTCAACAATCATACAGGATAGAAAGTGGTTTTTATTTTATTTTTTTGTACTTTTAAGAATTCATTCCTTTGGCTCTTATTAGACATAGCCAACAGTGAAAATGTTTAAATTTTATAGTATTTTTATTTTCACGTATCTTAAACCTCTAGAGTTTTGTTTTTTGTTTAGTTCTTTCCGCATTCAGGCATATTTACAGTAAGTTTTAGAGTCTACATTTATACTATTGTAAGCTAACAGATGGTATTTCATGATAGACTCTTAGAAATCTAATTAATACACTCAAAATTATTTCTTCTCAAAAGATATTCATCCCTGTTCAGATAAACTATAGTGAACCAAACAAAAACGAATGACAAAAAAAATCAAAATTTCATCCAAAGTAGAAATAAAAGCCTAAGTGTTAGTCATAAAGATCTAGCTGACTCCTAGATATGTTTAGATCTCAGTTAGAAATCATTTCATGCTAAGCACCCACTTTTGTGCATTCATACTAGTAATCTACTACTGTAAATACTTGTTTGTTTTGTCTGTCTAGAAAAGAAACAGCAGCATCACCAGGAATTTAATAGAAATGCAGAATCTTGAACCTATACCTACTGAATCAGAATCTATAATACAAGCCAAATATGTAATTTTAAGTTTTTAGAAGCCACTTTAAAAAGAATAAAAAGATATGATTATTATAGTTAATATCACTAAATAGTACACCAGAAAAGGAGACATATGGAGCTGCGGTCTGACAGCGATCCTGATGGCACAGACAGCTTGGATATTGCCAAGTGCTGAGGGTGCAGCTATTTTGAAGGTTTACAAGTGGCTTGACCATTTTGGATATTTAAAATGACAGTGCTCTCCCAGATTCCAGGCACTGAAGAGCAGGCCCCACTTGCCAGGAACCCCAAGGACATTCTGGACCCGGACGACTGGAAAAGTGCGACATTCCCCTTGTGACTCTTATACCCCACAACCTCTTGTTGACCGGAGATGCAGCCATCCCTCACTCTCACACACTTTCTGGGACGGCAGGAATTCCATCCCAGTCTGTGTGCTAGGACGGAACTTGGGTACCTTGCCCCGTCCTGCCCCAATTTTTTTTTCCTTTTTTCTGTTTTTTAGTTTGTTTGTTTTTGTCTGTTTTAAAACTACTACTATTATTATTATTGGGAGCTCTGATAGCATAGTGCCT